ACTAGAAAAACAACAAATAAACCAGTACGGAGCTATTTAAACAAAATACTTCTTCTTATAACAAGAAACAAGAAAAATGGGAGAGCTCATTGTTTCCATAATAATAATACATATATACACATATACAAATAATAGCGGTAATTATTTTCAGTAACTCATAATAACTCTCCAATCTCAATCTGCTGACTGCTACTACAAATTTGTTTTCCTCTACCTTCTTCTATTCAGAAATATATATTTAAGTATACACATTTTAACGGCAGAGCCTCCAAGGCTAGCTGGTTTACAATACAACCTACTCCAATGTTCTAGCAAACGAATTATTTACCGGCGCGTGAGAAGGCACAGCATTTCATCCAGTGACATCCACACAAATTCCCTTCTCCTCTGGTCTGTGCCCAGCAATACCTGCAGCGCATTCACATTGATTTAAATAAGCCTGCCCAAAGCCTACGTGCTTTTTTTTGACATACACACTGCGAACTCAGCCCCAGCATCCACCAACAGCTGGTCCAGTTGGCAAATAATCTCAGAGTTCAAGGGGACAGTGCACAGGAGCAAGTGAGCAGGGAACGGTAACGCTGAGATTCCTGTGGCAGCGCCTACGCCCCAGGGCTCCCGGTGCAGCCACGGTACCAGGGTGCATTTATTGTGCCACACACATAAAGAACAAGATTTTAAAATAATCTGACACCAGAAAAGAACAAGTTACGAAATAAGCACCGAATCCAGATCTTGAATTTGAAAGAAAAAGCAAAAAAGAAGCTTCAACTCCTGTTTTTGAAAACTTCATTGGAGCAAGCCACAATCATTCATCTACAGAAACGCCGCTGTTTTGCAACAGCCCATAGTACAACACAGTCTAGTTAAAAAGGAGCTTTGCAGGTAAGCCCAAGAAAAGAGGAATCATTTGCTATGGGTATAAAACAGGTCCTCTGGCTCACAAATGCACAGGTGCCTCCTGCAAAGCTGCACCCCATTTAACAAAGCACCACGGCATTACCTGCAGAAATTCGGGAGGCTGGCTTCTGAAGAAAGGCTGAAGGAAAGCTTGGGCATCGTTACAAAGGTAGCATGTCTCAAGTCATCTTCACAAGGAGAAGTGTAAAAGCTGAGCTATTCAGAGGCAGAAAACAGAAGAACAGTATATCCCAAACTAGCTTCCTTTTAAAATGGAAAGCTCGACAGACGGTTACTGAGCTCAGCACATCCAGGCTGCCTTCGATCCAACACGCAGCTGCCTTGGTATCGAAAGGACGCGTACACAAAAATCAAGGATAATGCCCCGCCCTAAGTGTCTTGTTTCTTATAAGGCAAACCCTGCAGCTGGAACTACCAAAGGCAGCGCAGCAGCCGCGCAGCCACGGACCCGTGAGCGGGTGGCTTGTTCGCGATGTTTAAAGTCACACTCTCCTCCCAGCTGGCAAGGTAAGTGCCTGCAAAGCCAAGAGCTGCTTATGAGGAAAACACGCGTGACATGGGCAAAGGGCTCAGCAGCGGCCGAGCCAGATGAAGCTGCCGGGAGAGTGTTTTTCATCGTTTGACATCACGCGAGTTCCGTGGCTGACATCCAAGCCGAAGGAGGGCAGCGGCTGAAGGAAGAGAAGTGCTCCCGTATCAGATGACAAACAGGATCCCAGAAGCGCCGAGATTTTAAGGAAGGATTGTGCAGAGTGAATACTGATACAAAGCCTCAGCGTGGCTGCACAACACCCAGAGAGCATCCATGTTCATTTGGCAGAAACATGGAATATTAGAAAGACATTTTGTCAGGAATATCACAGACAGACAGATGAACAGTCTCACCATGTTTCATATGGTTGCCCAGAGAAGCTGTGGATGCCCCATCCCTGGAGGGGTTCAAGGCCAGGCTGGATGAGGCTTTGGGCAACCTGGGCTGGTGGGAGGTGTCCCTGCCCATGGCAGGGGGTGGCACTGGATGATCTTTAAGGTCCTTTTCCAGCCCAATCCATCTTATGTTTCTATGATTCTGTATGGACTGACAAAGCAAAACTGACATAAAGTCAACTGCAAATAATTGACCAACGTGACTGAGTCTCTGATCCAATCACACAAGACAGAGAGCGAGATGATAACATAAATTTAAAACTTAGACAGAACTAACAACTTCTTCAAAAGAAACTAAGCATTAAAGCACAGTGTCTCCTGTCTGTTGCCAAGTGATATTTTTTTTCTGTTGCTGCCGTGCTCACAGCACTGCCACGGTTCCCAAAGGTTCCCCCTACCTAAACCAACATGAACACCACCTACAAGACCCTGCTGCTCTCATTTAGGGAGAAAGAACTCCAAGCCTTCATTTATGCCTCAGAACCAACGTAAGCACCCAGGGAAAACAACTTCAGAAGTTCTAGGGAACAAACCAGGAAATACATATTTAAATGGACTAGGAAAAAAAATGGTTCTACCCGGGGAAAAAGAAATGTACTGATCATAACCACTTGGTGTCAATAATAAAGTTAGTTAGACAGCAACTTGTCAAGAGAAGGGTAAAGAGGAAAGGAATTATTCCAGGGGCCGACTCACACTATTTGCTGCTTATCGAGAACCTTTTGGAGTTCAATGCTCCAAAGAAGTTACAAAAAAGGCATTACGAGCCTTTCATACTGCCATCACACTATCATTGATCATATAATCCATCTGCTCACCTCTTCTAAATTCCTTACTGGCTAATTTTAAATACTTTGTGCACATGCCATTCGCTTAAGATGGCAAGTGCCCAGCAAGGCACCAGGAGAGGCTGCAGTACCTCCACTCACCTCTCCGCGCAGCTTGTCACCATCCCCTCCCCAGAAACAGGAGCCAGCAGCCACCTGCTGCTTCTGGGGGATCTCAGTCTAAATCAGACACACCGTTATCAGGAAGGATTGTAAGTGGAAGACAGGGAAGAGACGTCAGAGAGTGAGGAAATCAAGTCAGTGACTGCTACCATACCTGTGTCACAGTGAAAAATCCATCAATCCTATCAACAGCAAAACCGCCTGCTGGGACAGAGGACAGTGCCTTCCTTGGCTGCATGAGGTTTGAAGACTCAACAGTCAAACTGGGAGGTGCAAACCTGTCTGGCTGCTGCAGGCAGCTTGAGAAGCACAAAGCTCTCAGTATGGGGAAAAAAATCAAACTAAATCAATGCAGCATTCATGGAAGAACAAAAGATGTGTAAAGGAAATAAAAAATATGCACAGTTGTGCTTAAGAGGCAGGTTAAGAGATCAGCATCGCACTCTTGAATACCCCTGTGAAAAGCGCCTTAAAACTGTCAAGCCATGGCATCAGACACACCCCGAGTAAACACAAAGCGCTGCCGGGACTCCAGACACAGCCCGTGCAGTGCAGTGGAACAGCAAGGGCATTACTTTGGCAGTTCTGTGGTGAGTAGATCTGAGAAACACAACACAAACCCAAAAGATATCATAAAAAAGAATTTCAGTAACCAAGATGAAAGGCCTGTCAACACACATGGGAAAAAAAATCAGGATAAAAAGCAGCCGGGTGGGAGAGATCATAAAAATAATGTATTTCTAGAGAACTTCAAAACGTTTTACTTCTTTGTTTCTTGCGAGCCAACAGGCACTCAGACAGGTATGGTGGAGGAATTCAAAAGGCATGGGAAAAAGAATTCATCATTCTTACAATACTATGTTGTTTGTTTAACGCTCTGCATTGTTCATTAAATAATAACCAAATAGATCATTCCACTGAGCCTGAATTGCAAAATCTATCCCAGCTAAGAAGGAAATGGTAGACTCAGACATGGATAATGTGTTTCTCATCTAGGAAAATTGACTGTACAGTGTACAATACACTGCTTTTGTTAAAGATATTAAATAAAATAATAATCTGATCCACTGTAGTGAAGTCAAAGATAAATATGGATGTTTCTGACTGGTCCCAGGAAAGCCTTTGGTAATTTAAACACTTTATGAATAAACAAAAGGGAAGTTGAGGAACTTGCTCTGATATTAACTGTTATAGAAATATTTGTTGTAATTCAAATTTTTAGTTAGAGAATGTTATGCTTTCCAAAATACTATTAAAACCAAATTTTTAGTCACAAAAATATGTTTAAAATTAGCGCTCTCATATAAAGCCCAAGGTGTTCATGATGTGACCCTCAGTGCTGTTATCCACGTGCATAATGTCATACACCGTGAAGAGTTTCACTGAATTAAAGGATTACTCACCACTAGTAGGTATCCGAGTCATTCACTGCTAGCTGAGGGACTTAAATTGCGCTAAGCTCCACACAGGACAAATATTTAACATAAAAAGTTGTCCCTGATGTAAAGGGACACATTCATTTTGAAAAGCAAATGACGCTTCTGCAGTCTGCAGTTGGAGAGTAGAAATTTACTTCTGGTACGTCACCTAGCCATTGCCCTCTCTATAGAGATGACATCATCCCCAATTCATGCCTAGCAACACGTTTGTCAGGAGGAGTCTGAATTCTCTAATAAGCAAAACTCACTTCAATATGATGGTGAAAATTTCACCTACATATTTTGTTCTGGTTCATGCATGGAGATCATTGTCACAAAAACCCAAAAGGAATTGCAGTATTTGACTCACATCTGATGCCCTTAATAGCACCTCCCCTGTTTTACAGACTCTGTGGCTTACGGGCTTTTCAGAATGCCTCAAACCCACTCTGCAGTTTTTAAGGCAAATCTTTCTCTTTAAAGCAACTATTCTGCTGCAAGTAAAACCGCCAACTTTTTCGCTGCGGACAGCAGAACTCGAAGTGGAAACATCTGGTGTCACTTACGGACGCGTATGAAAAGAACAGATACTGGATTTCCCTGGAAAAAATCAATGGTTGCCCTTCTTCATGCACAAAGCGGGATGCTCAGCAGGGCTCGACACAGGGATGCTGCGCCTTTGGGGTGACAGCGAAACCTCGGGGCTTGGCTTGGTGGGTCCCACCGTGACCCCCAGGGTGAGGAGCACCGAGTCGAGGGGATGCGGGGGGTCTGTTTGCGGTACCTGAGCAGAAGCTGTTGCTGCTGACGGTCCTGCCGGAACCCCCGGAGGAACTGAGTGGGTTGAATTCCCGACTCTCCTCTTCCGAAAAGGGCGACTCGGAAGCGGGGGACACCTTCTGCTGCGGCCGAAGGACCAAACGGGGGATGCGGCTGCGGGATATTTCCTTCTCCAGCTGCGCCTTTTGCTCCTGCTCGGAAAGG